TCTTAGGCCCCATGCTGGATTCAAAAAATCTCAACACGTGATATTTTAAGTTTAAACTTGTAGTAATTCAAGATTATTTTCTTTAAAATAACACTGTATTGCGCTATATATTGTCAATATGTAAAAGAAATTTCAAAACAACCAATAATTTGCTTGGAAACACAGAAAAAAGTGTTTAGTTGAAGAGAGTCTCAAGCAAGATGTTACCTCCACTGAAAAGACAGAGAGAGACTAACGCCTGTATGGTGTGTTGGCAGGCTGGATGGCGTGCATGAAACTAGTGACCTTACCTTCAATTATGTTCAATAATTGTTAAAATGACTAAAAAATTTAATATTAAACTTTTAAAATTATTGAATAGTATAAACTTCTTGATATTTACTAAAATATTAAGGAATTTAAGCCCTAGAACCGATTACTATATTGGCGGACTAATACTACAGCTGGTTGACTGCCAAGTGCAAGCGAAAACATGTTCAGGTCGGCTCGTAAGAAACTCGTTAATCGAGGGATTGCTCGTTAACCGAAATCTCGTTAACCGAGGGACCACTGTACTATATTTTGATTTTACAGTACTGTACTGAAAATATATTTAAAAATGGGTGTATAAAAACAAAAATACATCAATACTGTATGTAGTGTGTTATGAAGGGACTGCTGGTTAATTAATGAGGGATAACAATTTATGATGAAATGACAATGTTGTGTGCAGGGAGGGAATAAGGATGGCAAGACTAAGGTGCCTTAGAGTCAGAAACACAGGAATGAATTAATACTCATTTAAACAATTACTGTTCTATTGTTTATACAAAACATATAAACAATTCTTCTCCCCACTGTCTAAAAAAAAAAAATATTATACCAATACAATCATCCCCAAACATGATGAACAAAATATTGGTTCATAATAAAAGTTCAGTCAGAGTTCAAAATTCCTAACAAATTAAAATGTTACTCAAAATCATTATAATAAATGAGAACTATCAAAACATAATTCATAATGCCCACATTATATCATAATACTGTACTGTAGATATACACACAAAAATACTACAGCGACATTCAACTTGTTAAGATTTGCACTGGATAAGTCTTTTTTTATCTAAATGATACTTTGTTTTAAAAGTAGCAAGTCACAGACAAGATGCCTCAATGCAGAAGTCTCCCTATAATGTTAAACACTTGGTACTACAACTTTGTATGTGTGTGGTTGGTTAATACTGGTCTGGAAATCCATTTTTTCCTTGTTATACAGTAATACAATATTTTCTTTTACAAGTTACCTACACAGTATTAAGAAACCAATTTTTTTTTACTTTATTTAGATCGATAAAATATGTTTTTTTACATTAATATTAACAAATCAGTTGCCATAATTCATTAATAAATGCATTTTGTTTATATAGAGAAGCTTTCAAGAACAGGGTAATCAATTGGTGGAGGTACAGTCACTCAAAAAAAAATCTTTAGTGGGGGGGGGGGGGTGTCCGATGAATTTCATAATGAGCACTATGACTCCTGTTCTCTCGGTAGGGTTGTCAAAATCCTTCGTCCGATGTCATATTTTCTCAAACACAATTTTATAAAGACTGTGTATATTACAGCACAGTACAGTACAGGTACAGTACATCAAAATATCTGGTCATGGCCTTCCTGTGGATTACAGACAGACAGTTACTTTAATGAGACCAACATAGAAAGATTGCCAGACGGACAGGCATAAGTACAGTACTGTACAAACACCATAATGCAGATTTGATATTAAATGGATTTGATGGTTCTGGTGATCTATAATATATTTAAAGTAGTGGTCTTTCAGCCATCTGTTAGGTCAACACCTTCAGAGTCTCCTCAAATTACATCACTGTTCTGTCCTCTCGAATTCATAGACCACAATGGAACCTCCATATAATCCATTAAATGGGGTTTTATATCTAACGTACCCTCGATATAACGGCCATTTCATCTCTATATACTACAAGTAGCTAATTAAAAAGAGGTTTCACATCTGATGGACCCTCAATAAACAGACTTTCCTCTCCCTATAGTCCATTATACAGAGGTTCCACTGTAAAAATGATACAGCAATAATACAGTACCGTGTTTTGCGGCGTAAAAGACGAATTTTTTATTAACAAAATATACAGTACGTACCATGAAAATTACCATGCGTCTTCCACGACGCTAGTTGGTGGGTTGTAGCGGAGGTTTTCTTAGGGTCAACTGAAATCAGCCCCTTACAAAGACTGTTATCTCATTACTTAGCAATTACAAGTATTCTCTATACTATAAAACAAATGATTTAACTAATATTGTTGAAATACTGCAAAAATTCGATTATTTACTTACTCAGTAGGTAAAAATAAACGGCTGCAGCTACACAACCCTTGCTACTGTACGGTTTGTTTACTAATGGCAGTGGTGCGGTTTGTTTACTAATGGCAGTGGTGCGGCAGCGCCATCTATTGAGGAATTGCGAAAGGTTGTCTGCTGGTCTCAAAGTGCATAAATTTTTGTTTCTTCACACTTGAGTGTCTAGAACTTATGTTCATTCACTACCAGGCCTTCATTGTGTCACAAGCCATTTTCATTCCTGTAAATTATCTCCCTCATCTATGGCAGGTGTATCAAGGTGACATAAATATAATATCGCATTTAAACTTGAAGTAGTGCGATATGCCAAAGAACATGGAAACAGGGCAACAGAGAGAAACTTCGGACCACCACCTACTGAGAAGATGATTTGCCAGTGGAGGAAGCAGGAGGAAGAATTAAAAAAGGCAAATAAACAGAAGCATAATCTTCATATAGTACAGTACCAGCAAAATGGCCATACTTAGAAGAAAACTTGAAAACATGGATATTAGACCAAAGAAACTGGGATTTTGCAATGACTACTAAGATTATCATTTTGGAAGCAAGAAGGTTTGCAGCAAACACAGGGGTGGATGACTTCAAAGGAACTGCTTGTTGGTGTTTTTGCTTCATGAAACAAAATTTTATTTTTTCTTTAAACGTTGATATACATGTTTACATTTGCTTACCTTCTACTGATGGAAAATATTTTTTGTCATTGTCATACCGACAAAATCAAGAGAAAGAATGTAAACACTACAGCCCGCTAGATTTTTTATTAAAAATTTATGAAAATGACGACTGATAAGCAGTTCTAAGTGATGATATTCAGAGGTGTGTGTGTACTTGTGCGAAAAGGGCTGTATCAAGCAATGGTTTCACTGGTGTCAGTTAGTAAGTATAAAAAGTTTTTTCCTAGAATTACATTTCCAAAATCAGGGTACGTCTTCCACGATGCAGTACTTCTACGCCACAAAATACGATTATTCATATTGATATGCAGCACTAATCTATGTATACAATAATACATATTGTACAGCAAATACATTTTAGACTTTAGTACAGTGATCTCTCGGTTAACGAGCGCCTCGGTTAACGATTTACCCTTCATAAGATTCTTAACTTCGGTTAACGAGTTTTTTACGAACCAACCTCAACATGTTTTCGCTTGCATTTGGCGGTCCACCAGCTGTAGTATTAGTCCGCCAATACAGTAATTGGTTTTAGGGCTTAAATTCCTTACTATTTTAGTAAATATCAAGAAGTTTATACTATTCAATAATTTTAAAAGTTTAATATTAACTTTTTTAGTCATTTTAACAATTATTGAACATAATTGAAGGTAAAGAAACTAGTTTCTGGTGTGCCATCCAGCCTGTTAAGACACCAGACAGGCGTTAGTCTCTCTCTGTTTTCAGTGGAGGTAACAGTTTGCTTGAGACTCTTCAACTAAATGCTTTTTTTCTGTGTTTCCAAGCAAATTATTGGTAATTTTGAAATTTATTTTACATATTGACAATATATAATGCAGTGCAGTGTTGATTTAAAGAAAATAATCTTGAATTACACCAAGAGAACTAATATTTTGTGGGTAAAATGGTGCCATGGGGTGACTTCTCTTCCACCCCAAAGCCTTCTCTTCTCCCTTCTCCTCCACCCCCATTCTAATTCCCATCATCATCATCCAGCCGTTCTTGCCTTGCTAGCGAGATGTCACGGGTTCGATTCCCGGGCTGGTGGAAGTTGTTTGGACTTACTTCCTAGCCCCCATTAGTCCCTGTTCACCTAGCAGTAAAGTAGGTACCTGTTGTAAGTCGAAAGTTGCGAATTCATATTCAGGGAGTTGTTGGAGCGTCCAATAACTTGATGACATAAACCCCTGACTCTTCAGGCTTCTACGGCCTTGACTCTTCAGGCTTCTACGTCCTTAACTCATGAGACATAAAGGCAAGCATGAACTTGGCATGCTTCCCTGTTGGGCGCTGTAAACGCTTCTGCGCTTCACCTTACACAAGGATGTAGGGGGGTGCCCAATAAAAAAAAAAAAAAAAAAAAATCATCATCATCCAGGAGCCTTCTACATACACACCTCAAAGTAAGTGTACTTTTCTACTTTTTTTGTTGAATTTAGGCAATTTTCGGTGAGCTGGAAGCAATTAACCAGAAACCCATTGAAACAATGGTTTCGGTTAACGAGTTTTTTGGTTAACGAGCAACCTGCTGGAACGGATTGTGCTCGTTAACCGAGGGACCACTGTACAAGTACTTTTATGCTACCCTGACCATGTTACAGCTTTCACAAGGTGCAAAGCTTGGATAACACAAAATCATTTAACTTTTGGTGTAATGATTGTTTCCTTTCATTATAAACATTTTAGAGCAGAGTACAGTATTGTTGGTAATGGTGGCTGAATAAGCAATTAAATATGCTCCTCAAGTACAGTATATTTTTATAAACTAATCATGCTTTGGCAGTCCCAGACTTAAGACAGGGATACTCTCCTGGACCCTGATCATAAGTAAGAAAAGTATTAATTCCATAGTTTAGGTTAGGTTAAAGCACAACCCTGCCTACAAAACAACAATAATATCCCATAAACAACAAATACTATAAATAAAGTCATGTTAAACAATATAGATTAATAAAAAGTGTAAAAATAGAATTTTAATTATAAAATTTTGCAATGAATGTATTGGGATCTCGTTCGTAAGTCGGATGGTTGTAACTCACGGACTGCCTGTACTTTTCTAGTCATTGTTTTATACATATAAAGAAAACACAATGTAAGCTAATTCCTTTTACATCATAGCATAGCTTCCTACACTACACACCAAAAGTCTTGAGTGTCCAATATACTGTACACCACATCCTATCCCAGCTTGCATGGGTTAGCTGCAGTTACTTGATGGTAGCTCACCATGCTGCATGGTCTCAAAGGAGGTTGCATGAGACCATGTGCAGCATGGAGAGCTGTCATCAGGTAATTGTGGCTGTAGAATAGTGTTGGTGGCGATGACAATTTTATTCAAATTCTTTTATTCTTGCCCTCTAAAATTTATTCTACTTAAAATAACTCTCCTCTTTACCACCTATAAATATGATATACCATAGATGTGGGAAGTATTTGATCTATATACTGCACTGTTATTGTGGTTAATGTCACACAAACTGTCAGATCTATGAAATAATGCAGATTACTGCACTGTACCGTGTTTACCAAAATGAGACATTCCTACTATTCAGGGGATGTCCAAATATTGTTCACCCAACTGTACTGTACAGCACTCACCAGGCTAATGATCTAATATCCTTGAAAAGCAAAAACCAGTCTTATTTGTATTAATATTAGTATTAACAATCTCTAGGTACTGTAGAGGTATAGTAACAACTGCAGCCCAACTTCGGTACCTAGTGATTTTTACTCTTGTCCCTTTAGTTAAGTGAATCTTCACATTTTATTCAGCAAGTATCTGTGTTCAGTCATTCTGGAAGCGTAAACCTATAATTATTTATAACTGAACAAACTACATCTCGTATCCCAAATATACAATGCACATGAATTAACAACATTTAAATTGAAAACTTATATCTTTCAATTATCCAATCAAAATAAAATCTTCGATGGCTTATAAACATAATGAAATAAATATAACAACACCACTGCGATCTGCCCATTAAATAATATATATATAATTTTTTGTATTTTATTATAAAAAAAATACAAATATACACAGATGACTAAAATTAAACCACAAAAGATGTTGACAACACACAAAACTGGTTCAAGAATTGTTATGCACATAAACACAATTGGCCAAACATTTTGCTTCATTAGTACAGCATAAAATAAAACTAACTTCAACAGTTTTGTAGGACACGATAGTACTCTACAACATAAGTTTTTTCTAACCGTTTGTCTTAAATGTATTCTCTATATTTGCCCGGAATATCACTATAATCGCCCAGGATATCGACTCTTGGGTTTCCATTTTGTGGACTGCATCAAGGTGTAGTTGATGTAGGTACAGTGTCGCTCCGTCATGAAGGGAACGTAGAAAGCCCGCAGCAGTCTGTGCGATCTGAAATATAATACTCTAACTAGCACTTGATAAACAAAAATCTTTCTTCGGCCACAAAATATACAGTGATATCTCTGTTAGCCAGAAAAAGTGGTGCAGAGCACGTCCAGGAATGAGAAATTTCCGGATAACGAGACAACTCTCTCAAAGCCTGAAAAAAATCCCTCATCCCTGGACTTTTCTGGAATTTTCCAGGTAACTGAAAAATTTTCTCAGAAGTTCCAGAAATTGCCCATTACATCATCTCTCAAACCCAGAAAAATATCCCCCATCCCTGGAATTTTCCGGGTACCAGAAAAATTTTCTTGGAATTCCTAGAAAATGCGCTTGATTTTCATCTCTCAAACCAGGGATAAAACTCCCTCATCCCCGTAATTTTCTAGGTATGGGGAAAATTTTCTCAGAATTTTCCAGAAAATTTGCTACTTGGAAAATCTTTCCCAAAGCCGGAATTTTCCGGAAAATTCTGGCTTTGGGAAAGATTTTCCAAAAATTTAAATTCTGCCTATTGGAGAGTTCCGGGTTTGAGGGATTCTGGCTAACGGAGATATTACTGTATAATGACTTGTCCCGGGCAAGTAACAAAGTGACTTTTCAAATTTACTTGCCCAGATATATTTTTTTACTTGTCCCGACAAATTTCTGGAGCTCAACTAGTTACCTGGCAGCATCCATGAAAGGCACAGTGTGTAGTACAGTCCAGTCTGAACTGCGTTGTGAGTAGCGAGGCTCCCTTGGCGTTTCCTCCTCGTGGTCTAACTCTATCAAAAACTGGCAGGTGTTCGGCGCTACCTGAAAATTTACGTACTTTATAAACTAATTAATAACAATGTTGAATGCCGATCTGGTTTTATTTCATGGCCTTTTCCTTTCAGAAACACGTACTGTATATGAACACTGAATATATCCATACAATACAGTACTTACATATCTGGATCTTTCTTCCTCATTGGAGTCATTCATATTGTCAGGGATAATGTTGGTTCCATTGGCCTCTTGAGAATACGGCTTCGGTAACTGACCTCTGAATTCACTTTCGATAAAATGTAGATTCCAGCTGCAAACATGAATAATGAGATGTGTAGTTTATGTATAAGGATGTGTTCTCCATAATTAATATATATATTTTTCACTTGGGAAATTTTTTAATCCGTGGCCTTGTTCCAATCTCTATTAATTTGTTACCTTGGACTAATCGGTTAATACGTGACCTTGTTCCAATGTCTGTTAATCCGTGCTCTTGTAATATACTAATCACTGTAATCCGTGGCAGGTGTTGGCATGCATGGTAGCCATTAGATATGAGGCATATTTGAATGTGTGTGTGTGTGTGTCTCATTCACCACATTAATCTGTCAAGAGAACATGAATTTTCACAGCTATAACCCACTGCATACAATATAGAGATAGGGTAAAACAGTAAGTCTTACTTTAAGCCAGGGAGGAAGAAGGAGGAGGGGAATCTGTGCCACTCCTTGCCCATGCAGACATTGATGGGTCGGTCTGAGGGAAAACCTTCCTCTGCTGCCAAACGGTTTAATTCCATAAAGGTTTCCAGCGGTGCGTGGTAAGCTGTAGAGCAAAAATTATGAATAATTGATAAATTGAAAAATATATATAACTGTCTGTATGGTTAGAAATTTTGCCTTTCCCTAAAATAGGTCACCCAGTGGCATTACTGTAGTGCTGGCAGTTACCCACAAAAGTCCCATCACCTCTCCTCCTGAACCACGAGCCCGGAAAGCCACTCATGAATCCGAAGCATTTATGGACAGAATAAAACAACAGTCTACTGATTCAGGTTCACGAGTCTGAATCTCGAGGTTCATGTAGCATCAGGAGAAGAGGCGATAGGTCTTTTGTTGGGTGACTGTATGTACACTTGGTAAAAAAAGATTCTTTCAGGAGGAATCTCACTAGGGTTGGTAGACGTGATCGAGACACTTCTTACCTATTACAGTAAGCCAAATATAGTTATTTCATTCAAAATATAAAATTAGTTCATTGCAGTGTGATTGGTGAATAACAGTATGCCTCAAGGGCCTTTATAAAAAAACCTTCGTTCGTGTTATTTTGTTGTGCATAAGAACTGTAAATACAGTACAGTAGTACCCCGATTTACGCGGTCAATTGAACCCATGGGGTACCGCGGAAAGTGAACAACAGAACATATGGGATTAATTCCAATAGAGACTGGCCCGACCCCCAAACTCCACTTTTTCAGACACAATACCTTCGTTGTAGTAAAAATTACATCTTAATTTTATGATGGTATGCACACACAATTAATAATTAAGAGAAATATCAATAATATTAGTTTTTTAACACTTACATTAGTAGAAAAGATGGCTGGGCACACAGGGATGGGGGGTTGGTTCCGTGGCAGAGGGCAGATTAATTGGCCCTCACCTGTATCACTTGTATCACTATCCACCACAGAGGCTTGCAGGGCCTCTTTGTCAAACCCCTCAAAGTCCATATAAGTCCATATTCTCACTATCACTGACTTGGGCCGGCTGTGGTGGGTGGCGGGTGAAGAACTCGGTAATGTTTTGATGACTGGGCGACCTTGTGCGCATCCTTCCCGTGCCGCTTCCCGCGTATATGAGTAGATGCACCGCGTAAAGTGAAAGTCCGGTTCTGGCGAGGTACCGCGTAAATGCGAAATCGCGGAAAGTGAAACCGCATAAAGCGGGGTATTACTGTATATAGTTTTTTACCAAGTGTACACAGGGGCACCAATAAAAACTGAGGTACTGTAGTGTGTTACCTCTGTACTGTCCAACGATGCGTGACACACCAAGTGTGGAGGTGAGGATGACAACAGTGAGGGCCAGCCAGTTGGTGTGGTTCAAATAGTGCTGTCGTTTTACAATCAAGAGAGATGACCACAGCTTCTGACAGCAATCTGAGGTGTACAGATACATTGTACTGTAAAAGCTCTATATAATGGACTTCTCTCTCCATATAATCCATTAGATGGGGGGATTTCACACCTAACCTCGATATAATGAAATTTCCTCTCCATATAGTCTGTTAAATAGAGGTTTCACTGTACTGAAAAAAAAATATAAATTTTACATTTGCTTAAAAACTAATACAGTATAGCTACCTAATAAAAAAATGTATGCATTTCAGCATATTAAGCATTAAAAATGTTTATATATGTATGAATATCACTTATAAACAACAAAAAGGTAATTAACACAAATTATAAAATTAATAGCTATGGACACCTTAAAACCTGTGATGACCTTCTGTTGTGGGAGAGAGTAAGAGCCCACACAGTGGTTTACTTTAAAGTAAATTTGTAAGATTTATGAATCGTGTTGTTCAAAGTAACTGCTTACTGCAATGTTGCTGAATTTTTTCATTCTTGCAAACCTTTATAATGGTGTTACCTTTTGCTGCCACATGTCCCTTGTGAGGAGTAGTGTAGTAATGTGTAAGTATTACCTTACCTTACTTGACCTAACCTCACTTAACATAACCCCTTTTGAGAAACGGTGTAATAATGTGCAAGTATTTACCTTACCTGACCTGAACTAACCTCACCAAACATAATGTAACCTGACCTGACCTACTACTATTATCTAGCCTTGAGAATGATATAAATTACCTGGTCCAATATTTAGTCATAAAAAAGGGATTTCAGAATCGACATTTCACCTAAAAATGTGACAAACAATGTGGTGATTCAACCCTTTGAGGATGATGGTTTAACCCCTTGAGGATGATGGATGCTTTAACCCCTTGAGGATGATGGATGCTTTAACCCTTTGTGGATGATGGATGGTTTAACCCCTTGAGGATGATGGATGCTTTAACCCCTTGAGGATGATGGATGGTTTAACCCCTTGAGGATGATGGATGGTTTAACCCCTTGAGGATGATGGATGGTTTAACCCCTTGAGGATGATGGATGGTTTAACCCCTTGAGGATGATAGTTTAAACCTTTGAGGATGATGGATAGTTTAACCCTTTGAGGATGATGGATGGTTTAACCCTTTGAGGACTCAATAGACTAAAAGAGAGTCAAACAGGAAAATAAATATTTCCTAACTAACATAACCTAACCTAACCAGCGTAACCTAACCTACCGATGGTGATTGTTCCGGCCAGACACACAAGAGGGTAGACAGGGAAGAGGAAGCGCTCCTCTTTGTGGGGCTGTAACATGAAGATGGTCAGCCAGAGGTACAGAGGAGACAAGCTTAACCAGAAGGGAAGGTACGTGGCGGTGTTCTTCCTCGGCAGCTGCACCACGTATGCCATGACTCCCTGCAGATGAGGATAAAAGAATAGTCTTAAAAAAAATAAATAAAATAAATAAAATTATCTTTCATTAAACTACATTTTCATTCCTATACTACTTTACACACCTTGGGAAAAAATCTAACACACACACTTGGTGAAACCTCTCTATTGAATGGACTATGTGGAGAAGAAAATCCCTTATATTGAGGGTCTGTTAGATGTCAACCCCATATCTAATGAACTACTGTATATGGAGAAGAAATTCCATTAAATCGAGGGTCTGTTAGATGTTGAAACCTCCATTTAATGAACTAATGTATATAGAGAAGAAAGTCCATTAAATCAATGGTCTGTTAGATGTGAAATCCACATCTAATGGATAATATGGAGAGAGAAGTCTGTTATATGGAGATTTGACTATTATCTATGTAACACACACACACTGCCACTAATATACAAGGAGTTTGCAGTCGACTTGCCACCCCCCTCTGTTCTATTATTACTGCAGCCCTCATTCAAAGCAAATGCCCTAATGAATGGAAAACCACATTTGTCACCCCTATCCCCAAGGTCACCACCCCACAGTCCCCTAACGACCTCAGGCCAGTTGCCATTACTCCCATACCCAATCTACTCTGTGAAGACTTTGTTTTTGAGTGGGCATTTGCTACAATCTATCAGTCAATTGATCCACAGCAATTTGGCAATATGAGGACCTCCTCTACATCACACTGCTTTGTTAGTTTTCTGGATTTTCTGCACAAAAACCTGCAGAAACGTAAGACACCACTGGCTGTTGCCCTTATTGACTTCAGGAAGGCCTTTGACCTTGTCGATCACTGCACTGTTATCAACAAGGCCTTTGCACTAGGGCTGCCCACCAACCTGGTCTCATAGCTCACTCATTTCTTGAGTGGACGTCGTCAGGCAGTGAGGTATCAGGGCTCGGTCTCCACATTCCAACACCTCACTTGCGGTGTTCCCCAGGGGACAAAGATGGGACCACTGTGCTTCCTCATCCTGATCAACGATGCTCTATCAGACACTCCTCACAGGTGGAAGTACATGGATGACTGCACTGTGGAGGTTACAGTGGACAACACCGCACCAGACTACTCATTGCTACAAGGCACCCTGGCCAGGCTACAGGCATGGACTACGGAGAACAAGGTCACCATTAACCACACCAAAACTGTAGTCATGCACATCAATACCACCACCACTCCAGTGCAAGCTCCAGCAGTCACAGTGGGTGCCCATCCTCTCCAGTTAGTGCAGGCTGCCAAACTCCTGGGTGTTACCATAGACCACAAACTGGACTGGAAGGCCCATGTATATAACACAATCAAGGCAGCCTCGTATTGACTCTACATGCTACGACGACTTAGGTCACTTGGGACACCCATGCCAGAGCTGAGGACTATCTACAATGCCTTTATTCTCCCCAAACTAACATATGCGTCACCAGCCTGGTCGTCTTCTCTCAACTCCACCCAACAACATCGGCTAGAGAAGGTACAGAAAAGGGCCTGCAGAATCATGCTCGGCGCAGAATACTCCGGCTACATCAACGCTCTCTCCACCCTGGAAATGCCATCCCTCAGTGATCTCCATCACAAAGCACTGGCAAGGTTTGGCAGTGAACTACTGCACCACCCTCGTCATCGCCACCTCCTGCCACCGGCAAATCCCCCACCCTCCTCGTGCAGTCCGCCACTACAACAAGATTCAGCCCATAAGAGCCCGCACCGATAGATATAAGAATAGCACCATCCCATCTATTGTTAAAATAATAAACAACTCCTGATTTATGTACTGTGCAGCCCTGTAAATGTATTCAACGCATATTATATCATTATGTCTAAATCAAATGTAAGTATGTATATTTTCAGCCACCGGCTGCAACTCTATTAATAAACCGTTTATTATTATTATTATTATTATTGTTAATATAGTTTGATTTACATATATACTTACACAGATTGGAAGTGAGAGTAGTGCAGCTGGGAATATAAAATTAAAATTGAGGAAGCCATTGAAGAGATAGAAAGTCCAGGGTTCTGTGCCGTACAGGTCTGGGCCGTGGGAGGTGAAGACATTGTACACCACAATATTGAGAGGAGCGATTACCAGGCGACCAAAGTACTGAGAGTCGATCTGGACCATCGGCACCTGGAACACAACAGCCGTTATGATCTACACTGCTTTAGCCACGCTTCAGACCACAATAATAATGACTAGCAATTCATAAAAAATTCAAACATGAAAATAAATATTCAAAGAGATATCACAAACCTAGTACATTTGTATTATACTGTGGCGGGCAAGAAACACCCAGAATAGTGTATCAACGTGAGCCTGAACTGAATAAAATAATTATTGATATTCAGTCAATTTGACTAAGGACAGGTGACAGCCAGAAATGCTTGTTTCCAGTAGAGTCCTTATACCAGCAGCATCTGGTGTTAGGAGGGCCAGGTGGTCACCCTTTGTCACACTAATATCACTACTGTACTTCAACAGCTATACCATACATACCAACACCGTCACAGCTGAGATGACGCACCATTTGAAGAACATCATTATCTGCTTCTTCCGAAACACAATGTCGTACGCAATGGCAATGCTGTAAAGACAACCAACACATTAAAATAACCAGATGATATGAGTTTTATTTAGTACGAGCACAAAAATTTACATTAAACCTACAATTCTATCAAAGACGGTCTATGTTTGTCTTTGGTACCCCCAAAATGTTCTACACTACTGAGGGTATACACAAACACTTGTTATCTTAAAAATAGGTTCTTATTCTCGTACGGGAGATATATACAGATGGACAAAGAAACTCGCTTCCACACCATAAGGACTGGTGGTCTCCACTCTATGTATCACTGCGTGCTGGCCTGTACAGATGCCAGCATTCACAAGCTGAATACATAAAATGTAAATACCTGTATGGTAATTCACATACATAACATGGTGCATAATAAATGGAAATATTGCATAGGATTAATACATGTTCTGTAATACTTTACTATACATAATTAATAGAGTAATATAAGAATACACAGCTTAAGGTACTACTCCGTGTCCATATTATACACCTCCCTCCCCCCTATACGCTCATAGTTTCATCTTGAGCGGACCTTTTGTTTCTGAGTCGCTCGGACCTGCAGAGTACTGGGGCAGAAACACAAGGTGGGGATGGATTTACTGTAAAGACATCAGCATTAGGGGACACTACTGGGGAAGGGTCAACACTAGGCAGCTCCACAGGTCGGAGGAAACGACGGTTCCTCCACCATACTCTACCACTAGGAAGACGCACTTGGTAGTCCCTGGACCGGCCAATACCCATGACGACCCCAACCTTGTCCCAGCGGTGAGATACCGGATCTTGAATCCTGACCTGCTGACCGATACTTAACCTGGGAAGGGGGCGGGCATGACAGTCGTACCGAGCAGCGACATCTGCGGCTCGTTCTGCTGCATTGCGGTCACATTCTTCAGTCTTGGCTTGCCATTCTTGAGAAAAAGACTTCGGGTGGGCAGGAACACAAGACCCGAGATGATGTCCATATAGAACCTGGGCTGGGGAGCGTCCGGTGAAGTTCGGGGTGTTGCGTAACTCTAACAAACCTCGATTGAAGTCCTCGCAGTCGATATTTCCTGAGGGTGACACCTTAAGGATCAGGTGTTTAACTGTCTTGACTGCGGCTTCAGCGTGTCCATTCGCCTGGGGGTAGTGGGGCGAGGTCACAACATGACGGACTCCCCAACGGTCCATGAAGTCCCGGAACTCGTGGCTGGTGAACTGGGGTCCTCCATCAGTCCTGAGGCGGAGGGGAACACCAACTTCTCTGAAGTAATGCCTGAAATTCCGGATGGTAGCAGTAGCCGTTGTATCACTACCACAGGGGACGACAACAGGCCATCCAGACTATCGGTCGGCAATGACGAGGAAGGACTTCCCTGCCACTGCAAAGAAGTCAGCCGACACAGACTCGAAGGGTCTTGAAGGGTTATCGTCGCACATTAAAGGTTCCTGTTGCTGGCTGGGTTGCAGGATCTGGCACGGCTCACAGGCACGGACGGTACTTGTAATGTCCACGTCGATTCCGGGCCAAAATACAGTCTACTTCACCCGTCGCTTGGTGGCCTCCACTCCTCGATGGCTGTCGTGAAGGCGGGTCAAGGTACGGCGGCGTAGGGCAGCAGGAATGACTACTCGTGGACCATACAAGACGAGGTCTCCGTCACAATAGAGGTCCTCGCGTATCTTCCAGTACGGGAGTAGCGATTCATGAAGGTCGTATCGGTTAGATGGAAATCCCTGGGACACACAGTCGACGAGCCGGATGTAGGAAGGATCGGCCCAGGCTGCGGTGCGGAGATCTTCAAGGGTCTTGTCTACATCCGGTGCTGTAGACTCTTCTGATGTGAAGACGGCCTTCAATGAGACTACTGACTTGAGGGATGCAGCAGCTGTAGAACACAACATCTCGTCCTCTGGGGTGGGGCGACTGACAGGGGCGCGGGACAGGGCATCAAGGATGCACAGCAGCTTGCCCGCACGCCACACAGCCGTGAAGAGATAAGGCGAGAGCTTCTCTTTCAAACGTTGAAGGTGAGGATTCTCTACTGCATCCAAAGAGTAGTGATTGATAATAGGTACAAGAGGGCGATGATCCATGAAGAGGGTGAAGTGCTGAAGTCCTATCAGGTAGAAGCGGCACTTCGCCATTGCCCAGACAACAGCCAACATCTCCAGCTCAATCGTGGCATATCGGGTCTCGGCGTCCGTCAGGAACCGGGATCCACACTGAATTGAGCGGAGTTGTCCACCGCCACGGTCCTGCAGAAAGGCGTAACCAACGCCGTAGAGTCTGGAGGACGGTGGGTAAGGCTGGGTCGTAACAGGCGAGGACAGGTGGACTTAAGAGGGCCTGCTTGACTCGCTGGAAGGCCTCTTGATGATCTGGGGTCCACAGGAATGTCCTCCTGGGGCTCAGCAGAGGGCACAACGGCTGGGCTGCGGCGGAGATGTCAGGTGAAAATTCAGCCAGCTGATTGACCAGACCCAAAAAAGAACGGAGGTCTGTCACATTGAGTAAAGATATGTATGAGAAACTATTTGCGCATGTGCCTTTAGAAGACTCGGGTGTCAAGTTAAGAACTTATACTGGAGAGATTTTGAACACAGAAGGTAAATTGGAGTGTGAGGTAAAGTACAAAAATCAGAATTTAAAGTTGCCTTTAATTATAGCTAGTTATGTGAATAGACCAACTTTGTTAGGTAAGAACTGGTTGTGTGAACTTGAGATGGACTGGAAGGAGATATTTAGTGTTAGAATGTGTAACAGTATTCCAGGTCTTGAGAAATTGCTTGAAAAATACGAGATTTTATTTGTGAAGCTCATATCACCATTGACAAAGATGTTACACCCATATATGCTAAGTCCAGACCTGTTCCTTATGCATTGAAAGGTGAGGTTGAGAAGGAATTAGACAGACTTGTGAGTGAGGGAATTATTGTGAAAACCGCCAAGAGCAATTGGGCTGCTCCAATAGTAATTGTACCTAAAGCTGATAAATCTGTTAGACTATGTGGTGATTATAAAGTTACCATTAACCAAGCTGTTGAGGATGAGCAATATCCCTTACCCACATCTCAAGATTTGTTTGCTGCACTAACAGGTGGAACCATTTTCACTAAGTTAGACTTGTATCAAGCATATGCTCAGGTCTCTGTTGATGCTGAAAGTCAACAGTACCTTACCATCAACACTCATAAAGGATTGTATAAGTTCAAAAGGTTGCCTTATGGTGTTAAGAGTGCACCAAAGTTATTTCAGTGCATCATGGACAAAATTCTTGTGGGTCTTCCCAATGTGTTATGTTTTCAGGATGATGTCCTAATTGTTGACAGTGACATCCAAAATCATGTCAAAACCCTAGCCACAGTATTCGAAAGATTGTTGGCACACAATGTCAGGCTCAACAAGAGCAAATGTTCATTCCTAGCTAAAGAAGTAACTTATCTTGGCTACAAAGTGAATGCAGAAGGGCTGAGACCTGTAGAAGATAAAGTAGGAGCCATAGTAAATTTACCTGCTCAAAAAAATGTCAGTGAATTGAAAGCTTTCCTAGGTATGATACAGTATTATTCAAGGTTCTTGAGTGGACTTTCATCAGTTTTAGCCCCTCTGCATGAACTATTAAAGAAAGGGATACCATGGAAATGGAACAGTGCAACTCAGAAGTCATTTGAAGATTGTAAAGCTGCTCTGTCTAGTACTGATGTTTTGGTCCATTATGATACCAGTAGAACACTAAAGCTTGCTTGTGATGCATCGGGCTATGGATTAGGTGCTGTCATAAGTCACATAATGGATAACGGTGAAGAAAGACCCATTGCATATGCCTCGAGAACTCTTACCCAAAGCGAGAAAAATTATGCACAAATAGAGAAAGAGGCTTTGTCTATCATATTTGGAGTAAAGAAATTTCACCAGTATCTATATGGGAGGAATTTTGTTTTAATAACTGATCACAAGCCTCTCTTGGCAATTTTGGGTCCTAAATCACCTGTTCCTACACTTGCTGCAGCAAGAATGCAGAGATGGGCTTTGATATTGTCGGCATATGACTATGAGATACAGTACAGACGTTCAGATGATCATTCCAATGCAGATGCTTTGTCAAGGTTGCCAGGTAGTGGATCAAATGATGGAGTAGAGCCTAAGGTTTATGCTGTAACCATGATAGCAGAAGATTTTCCAGTCACCTCCGGAATGATTGCTCATGAAACTAGGAAAGATGTTGTATTAGGAAGAGTCCTGGAGTATACACTAAATGGATGGCCAGAGATTTGTCCATCCTTAGACTTTCAACCGTATCATTTAAGGAGATGTCAATTATCAGTAGAACAGGGATGTGTGTTGTGGGGTATGAGGGTGTTAATTCCACAGTGTTTTAGAGGGCAAATTTTGAATGAACTGCATTTTGAACATCCAGGTATATGTGCTATGAAAGCACTGGCCAGAAGTTTTGTGTGGTGGCCTAAACTGGATGGTGAAATAGAAATGATGGTACGTGAGTGCTCTGTTTGTCAGAATGTTAGGAGTATGCCACCCAGCACACCTTTGAAAACCTGGAAATGGCCTACCCGTCCCTTCCAAAGAGTACACATTGACTTCTGTGATAAGGGAACAGACAAATTTCTTGTATTAATTGATAGTCATTCAAAGTGGATTGATGTTAAGCACATGTACAGTCCTAATGCTGGTAGCACCATTGATGAATTAAGATTAATATTTGCCGAACATGGAATACCAGAAGAGGTAGTTTCTGACAATGGTCCTCCATTCCAATCATCAGAGTTTAAAAACTTCATGAGAATCAACGGTGTAAAGCATGTACTGACCCCACCCTATCATCCTGCCTCTAATGGTGCAGCTGAGAGATCAGTTAGAATTGTAAAGGAAGCACTTTCCAAGCAGGTAATTCAAGGAACTGTACGAAAATCAATGAAACACAGACTAGCAAATTTCTTACTCAGATACAGAACCATGCCACATAGTGTGACAGGATGTACTCCTGCAGAGTTAATGGTGAAGAGACAGTTGAGAACAAGATTAAGTTTAGTTAAGCCAAGTCTGTTTGAAGTTGTAGAGAGGAAACAAGCTCAACAAAAAATGTATCATGATAAGAGTTCCAGTGAAAGAGTGTTCAAGGTAAATGATCGGGTGAGTGTTAGGAACATGGTTAAAGGTTATGGTACTGTACATGCAAAGTGGATAACTGGTGTCATTGACAAGGTATGTGGATCTAGGACATATTTAGTGAAATGTGGTAACTCTTTGAGGTATGTTCATGTGGATCACATAATTCAGGCACATGACGAGATGAATGTAGCACCAGGACATGATGATAAACTTGACACATTTTCAGATGATCATCATCATGATGATGTCAAAGATGATGTTTCCCAGCATCCACTCACTGTGTCAACTGATTGTAGTGATGATATGTCTGTCACTGATAATGCACAGAGTGCCAGTGAAACCCCTGTAAAACTTGATGGAGGGAATAGTCCTAGAAGATCAAACACAGTTAGGAGACCTGTAATTAAATTAGACCTCTAATTATCTGAATTGTGAACAGGCCTTTCAAAACTGTTTAGTTAGGAAGTTATATTTGTTGTGTTCTATTCTCTTCTTCCCTGCCATATGTAATTCTGTAAGTTTTGTTTATTTAGGATTTGTAGCAGCCATGCTCTCTTTTGAAAGGGAAAAATGGTGTTATATATATGTATGTTTATATGCTGCATTTATTGAATGTATATATTATATATTATGTTACTTCTTACGAAATGTGTTAGGCACGTTGTAACCAAGAACAGAGAATAAACAGCCAGCCAGACAGACCATGTGACTCTTCATTCTCCCATTAAATAACCCAAGATACTACACAGTGCTGATACTGAAACAGTGTATAGTTTTGCTGAACACGGTGTCTTGGTGGATGACACCTTGCTATAGCTGCACAATGAAACCTCCATGTAATTAGATGGGGGTTTCACATCCAACAGACCCTCGCTATAATGGATTTTCCTTTCCATATAGACCGTTAAATAGAGGTTTTACAGTACATACTTTTCTATATTAAATATATTGGTTACCCAAGTGCTCCAGCAAAAGGCCATCCTAGGAAAGTTGATACTGCAGTAGTGAAGATGGCAAGCTCATAAGACTGGTGATACCAAGCCCCCATTGACATCAATGTCATATACCTGAGGAAGAGAAAATTACTAATTAGGTGTGGCTGGCTGTGTAGAGGCAGCCAAGAGGTTTTGGGCATGTGCAGAGAGAATGGATGAGAACAAGCCGAGATGTTTTGGGCATGTGGAGAGAGAATGGATGAGAGCAAGCTGTGATGTTTTGGGCATGTGGAAAGAGGAAATGGATGTGGCCATTTAGGTCAAGAGGTACAAGAGCCTAAACGTGGAGAGGAGGAGAGTCAGGGGCAGGCCAAGAATAACATGATGAGAGTTTGTAAGAAATAACATTAGAGTTAAGAACCTGACAAGAGAGAATGTGCAGCATGAAGAGCTGCCATCAGGTACTGAGTTTACAGGAGCTCAACGTATAAACGTTCCACAAATCATTATCATTGAGATATTACTCTGATTCTATAGTACAGTATTGCGAGTTTCCTTCTGTTGACTGTAAACAAACACAGGGCTGTCACACTGCACATAACCTGATGAGCTCCTATAAATGCACTAGTGAAGGGGACAGTACAGTATATGTAATTGAAAAAATGGCCATAAAACACTCATGATGATGACTGTTGCTCTAATTCATGTCTGAGTTGTGTGCCCAAGGAGAAGAAGACCAAGGACTAATTACTTTCAGCTCTTCTTAAACTATATACTGTACAATCAACTCTCTCCTGAACCATGAACCCCGAGATTCAGACTCATGAACCCAAAGCAGAAGACTGATACAGTACATTATTCTGTCCATAAATGCTTCGGAATCATGAGTTTGAATCTCGGGGTTTGTGGTTCAGGGGGAGAGGCAAACAAATTTAAGTAGCTGACTGTACCCTGGGTAAGGATACTGTACAGGTATAAAAGAACAAAACTGTCATTATAGAGTAGAATCGGTGCCACTATAGCATGTGGTTTACATGATATTTATGGTGGTTAGGTTAAGTCAGATTAGACTAGTTTAGATTAGGTTAGACTAAAGATATCTTAGTAGACCGCGTACTATAGTAGCACCACAGAATCCCTCACATGGGTGCTGAAGACTTTAAGTGTCATCTCGATTAGTTTGGATCACAATAACGCTGAAGGTACAGTGAAACCTCCATGTAACGGACTTCTCTCTCTCTCAATATAATCTGTATGATGAGGGATTTGCATCTAATAGACCCTCGATATAATGGACTTTCTTCTTCATATAAGCCGTTACATAGAGGTTTCACTGTAGTTAGGCCAAAAGACTTACATAGCGAAGCTGGACGGAAGGAACGCTGTAGAAGATATGAACATGCCCGCAGAGAATACCAAGATACACAGTGTCAGTCTGCCAACATTTGCCCCAAACTCTTTACATATGCCTCTGAAAAAAAAAAATAAAATAAATAAATACAGTAAATAAAAATTAAAAATTAAATTATCTTACATCTACAGTATAACAATATATTTAAATAAGAAAAAAAATTACATTTTACAGACAGATCCCGATTTACAAGGATTTCATTGATAAAAGTTTGCAGATTAAAAAGAAAGTACCGCGCTTTGATTTACGAACAATTTCAGTACTGCATCCTGAAGCTACATAATTATTAATAATTATTTTCCAAAGTAATAATGAAAATATACTACAAGTTGTATTTTCTACTTCCAGTTTATATGCATACTCACTGTTAGCTTTTACTTCATGGAATGTTAAATGGGAGTTACAGACATATGAAGAGACATGACAACAGTTCCAGACAGGCGAGAGTTGAGTTTCCCTGCTGTTGGTATCCTAAAGGAGAGTCCACACGTGCATACATTTCCGGCAACACGTGGAAACACCGATCTAGTGTACGTGGCCACACCCTACCAAAGTCAGACCCTGTGCCGCATTTCATCTTGTTGATCACGTGTTGGCGACAAAATGTATGCACGTGTGGATGCATCTTAACTCTATTTTATGTAATATTTTTTTATTATATATTACTATGGTAATATAAGTATCATAGATGTTGGCTTTGTTTCATACTGTTCACATTGTGTTCATTCTTGTCTAGTTTCAGTATGCTGAACAGGTATGACATTAGAGTACTGTATTACTGTACTGCACTATACTGTATAACATGTACTGTACAGGCTACTACTAATGTCTGTTCGCCTCTCCTTTTGAACCATGAGTCCTAAGATTCAGACTCATGAACCAGAGCACTTATGAACAGAATAATCCATCAGTCTTCTGCTTTTGGGTTCATGAGTCTGAATCTCAGGGTATGTGGTTCAGGGGGAGAAGCAAATGGACTTTAGTAGTTGACTTTACATTGCAGTATTTCACTTGTTATCTAATATACTATAGGACTAGGAGTGTGTCTGTTTGTGTGTGTGTGTGTCTGTTCTGGCCAGCCGAAATGGCACAATCGTTTTTCATCAAACTTGGTGGAAAAATCGCAAAAAATTCGTAGAGTGAAACAAACCTGGTCCCATATCGGCTGCAACTCTATTAATAAACCGTTTATTATTATTATTTATCGATGGTTTCTTTAGGAAGCCATTAATTAACCATTTTATTTTCGCTGGAAAACGATGCAAGTCTACTGACTTGGCGAACCCTCATTCGCTGTACGCTGTCAGCCCACGATTGCAGTTATAGTACGGCTCCCTCCTCCTTCCCCCACTTTTTTCTTAGCCTACTTTTTTTTTAATGTTGTTTGAATTAGTAAAGGAAGGAAGATGATTAAATAGAAGAATAAAGAAGGGGAAACAGAAAATAGTTAGAGATAACAGGTAGGAGGGGGGGAGCTGAGTTTCATCATGAGTCTGGATGCGCAGTTTCAACGTTACCAGACGACCTTACAGCTAGAGTGTATACTTATTCCTGTGGGTGACTGTACATGGAAAAGGAGAAGAAATAAAAAGATAATAACAGGAATGCATGGAGAAGATGACTACAATAGATATAGGGTGAATATAGACAGTGAAACAGACAGGAGGTTGACAAAAATAGAGAGATTCATACATGCACAAACAGACAATATTGCAACTAACATGACAGACAGACAGCTGACTGACTGGTTCACATTAGACAAACAGGCAGACACACGCAACAACGGATAAGACAGACAGATCTGACGACACAAAGAGTACAGACGGGCTTACATTCAAAAACCAAGCAGACGAACAGACAGTTGGGATGGCAATAGACAGGACGGATAGACTTGAGACAGATTAGAAGGCATTTATAAACAAGAATAACACAAATTGACCATAGCTGCATCAGTGAGGGTCTTACATCCACCAGCGTAAATAATAAGACGCATTGAAGACTAACACCCTCGCGCGGAAAGAACATCGATGGTCGGTCAGTCATGTGAGGTGGGCCTAAAACTGACTAATGTAGATGATGACTATGATGATTTAACACAGGTGATGACTTAAGCAGATGGTGACTAATATAACCAGAATCAAGGTCACTTCTCTTCATAATATAATTTATCTTGGAATGATCATCGGTGATTCATAATTTTTTTTTTATGATTTTAACCTCGCCTTATGGAGAATATTTCTTTAACTAATCATTCTAACCTTTATTCTATTCCTTCTTATAGTATATTAGATACTGTAAGTATCACGACCATGATTATAACAACCATGATTATATAACCAAGACCATGATTAATACAACCAGGACCATGATTAAAACAACCACGACCATGATTATAACAACCACGACCACGATTATAACAACCACGACCATGATTATAACAACCACGACCATGATTATAACAACCACGACCATGATTATAACCACGACCATGATAAAAACAACCACAACCATGGTTATAACAACCACGACCATGATTATAACAACCACGCCCATGATTATAACAACCACGACTATGATCATAACAACCACGACTATGATCATAACAACCGTGACCATGATTATAACAACCACGACCATGATTATAACAACCACGCCCATGATTATAACAACCACGACCATGATTATAACAACCACGACCATGATTATAACAACCACGACCATGATTATAACAACCACGACCATGATTATAACAACCTCGGTAAACTGTACCACCGGACTCACCACCGGGCACGAAGGGCCCACGATCACTTGTCTAATGTACTAAAGGACTAGCTGTCCGTCTGTCTGTCTGTTCTGGGCAGCAGAAACAGCACAATCGTTTTTCATCAAACTTGGTGGAAAAATCGTAAAAAATTCGTAGTGGAACAAACCTGGCCCCATGTCGATGGTTTCTTTAGGAAGGCATTAATTAACAATTTTATTTATGATGGAAAACTATGCAAGTGTACTGACTTGGCGCACCCGAATTAACCATACAAGTCTACCGACTTGGCGCACCCTCATTCGCTGTACGCTGTCACGAGCGTTCAAACTTTCACAAGGGCACGAAGGGCCCGCGATCACTTGTATTTACTATTAAATTATAATACAGGTAATTGAGTTACACCAAAAATTGTCATTTACAATATGTTTTGTAGCCTTGTAAGATATTTGGCAAGTTTTTATTTTTCTCTCCTAGGAAGGTACAATCTAAAAAAAAAAAACTTGTCCATCACTATAAACACTATGTAATCTGAAAAATGAACAAAGACTCTGAAACCATTCCAAGTTGGCAAGCCCCATTGTGCTCCTTCTCACATCCATCGTGCCCAGGTGTTGGAGAAGTTTTTGTTGAGAGTGTACAGTAGCTAAAACAACTATCTGTGCATACTTTGTGGGAAACAATATGAGACCATGGACGATAAATATTGGAATATGAGGGCTGTCACTAATCACAAGTAAAATTTCGGAGCATGTTGACCCCCACCTGCACAGATACCGTAGTTGTTTTAGCTACTGTACATTATCTCGGCTATTATAAAGGAAATAAATGAGAAACCCTTCCATAAACTGGGGTCTACCTGTACTGTATTATAAACTCTCTTATATAAATTACCTTCAGATGAAAAACTTACCAAATTCCTCACTATATAAACCATACTGACCTACATCTTGATACTGTCAAGTATTGGTATTATTTTAGTTTCGGTTATCTGGGGAATTTTAGGAACTAAGGTTAAGTTAGATATAGTTCCTCGGTTCTGTGGCTAGGTTAGGTTATGTAAGTTAGGTTAGGTTAAGTTTGTAAATGCGGATGATTGTAAGATGGACAGTTGTAACTTGGGGACTACCTGTAAATTGTATATGTGCGTACCGTATATACCCGTGTATAGCACGAATTCTTAAGACCAAATTTTTTGGCAAAAAGTTGGGGGTCGACCTCTATACGGGTAATAGTTTCGTTAGGTTGAAAAATATTTACCAGTAAACAATGGAAACGACGCACCAACGCACCATCCGCTGTGAGTGTCGGTACAGTTGCCAGGGCAGATCTCTTCCGTCATCATAGCAAGCCCAAAGTAGCCAAATGCATGGTATGGTGTGCACAGGAGTATGTAAAACATAAAGTATTCTTTTTTAAAGTTCTATTTATAGATACATAAATTTTTGTTAATTAAATTTGAAACATCAATCTTTGTTACTTAAATTTGAAACAAAAGAAAAATACGATACCTTATTTATAAATATTTTCATTAAAATATTACATCACAAGTATATTTTACCTTAACTGTGCCTGAATGAATATATTCTCAGAAATAAATATGGAAATGTAATATTTTTGCTGAAATGACATAAGTATTACAGTGGAAAGTGGGATAAAATTGTGACGAAAACAATGACGCACTTTCTTTTGTCGTTCAAAAGATTTTACCGTAATCGCTTTTCGAATGGTTTTCAGTTAAAAAACTGTTGTATGACACTAATGTTCTATCCTAATTGACTTGAATAAATACTACGATACCATATTTCTGTATATTTTCATTAAAATCCATCAAAATCATTTTCCTTATCATCTGCAGCACCAAACAGCTCCTCCCAGTCCTCTCCTTGAACAGCATCGTCATATGGATCAACACCATCATCAGCCATAGGATCATCAATATCTTCATCCTCATTCACGCTCTCATTAGCCTCATAATCCCACAACAAGTCGTCTTCTGTTCCATCAAGAGCATTCGAAATCCCACATTTCTTAAAAGATTTCACCACAATTTCTGGTCTGATTGCATCCCAGGCCTCTACAATCCATTCACATAATGTTGCTAGTGATGGAGCTTGGATGTTGCCTCCCTTTGTGTATGTCTTATCGCCTTCTATCATCCAGTTGTTCCACTTCACTCTTACCGCATCTTTAAATGGTTTGTTTATGGAAACATCCAGTGGTTGGACAAGACTTGTTAATCCACCAGGAATCACAGCTGTATCAGTGTTTTCCTTCCTAATCCCAGCAGTAACACTGT